GGGGGGTCATATAGCTTATTATTTTATTTTTCATAAAATTACATATACCAACGTTTCGTTGCACTACTGATATAATTTAATCCGCTATAAAAGATAAATTTTGATTTTTACTTGGTTATTAATTATTAGTAATTGTCAATATTTTAAGTAATCTGACACTGAAAATATTTTTTATATTGTTAGTGAATAAAGCTTAAACTCCTCTATTATTTAAGTAATTAGCGTATCAACTGTTATGAAGAATATTTTTTGTTATAGGTCATCTTAACCCGATAATATGTTGGCAGATTCCAGCCGATATGGTGGTGAATGCAATGATAGTAGCAATGGTGGCTCATGCTGATCAAAGGGGAAGTGAAACCATATACCAAGTTGGATCCTCAGTTTCAAACCCTTTGGAAATCACTAATCTTAAAGAATATGGATTCAATTACTTCAGAAAATATCCATGGATTAACAAAGTGGATGGGAAACCTATTATTGTTGGCCAAGTTACAATGTTGAGTACTATGGATAGTTTTCGCAAATACATGGCCTTTCATTACTTGCTTCCTTTGAAGGTAATTTCTTCATCTCTCCTCCTGCACAATACCACTTACAAGTGCTTGATATCAGAGCAACGGTGTACGTAGAATTTTGTATAAATAGCTTTAACTGAGGCTCGATATCAAATGGGCGGGTTTGGTCGATTTTGCCGAGTCAATAATGACCCGCCCAAAAGTTACTCAGGTTGGGATGGAATGTGTCAAGATGGGCTAAAAGTTGGTTCATAGCTCAACCCGCTTAACTCTTGCTAAACTTTAATTAATATATGTTATTTTCGTATGAATTATATAATTACCAAAAAAAGATATTCTTTTAATAACACATCAAATAAAAGAAAAAATTATTTCTAAGATATTTTGGCAAAGTTGCTCATGGATCAATTTGGGCTAAAATTAGCTTAATTTAAGATGAATTGAGATGGATAGGGTCAAAATGGGCTGAGTTTAAAAAATGAGCGGGTTAATAACCAACCCAACCATGGGTGGGTTGGACATGCCATTTAGGCTTGGGCCAAATTTGACAGCCTTATTTATGGGTTAATACGTATACAAAATTTGGGCAAAAACTATATATTGGATTTACGTGAACCCATTCAACAATCTAGCTCTGCTTCTCAGTATCAATCTAAAATTATTATAACTCAATTTTGGCACGGAGTAGCGGAGGTTATAACAAAATTTACTTCTATGTCAAAGTTCATGTTAACTTGGCATTATTTCAAATGGTAATGCCCTATTATATAAGTAAAATATTATTTTATATATGTAAAACCTCGGACGCCCTTAAGCAATTTTAGCGAATTTTATGACTTCAACATTGAGTAAGTACTTGTTGTTGATGAAATTTATGGATAATTTTATCTTTAATTTTATAACTAATATTTTGTTGTTGTTCTATAGGGATTGGAAATAGTTAACACAGCATGTTGCCAATACTTCCAAGGAAAATACTTGGAGCTTTACAGGAAAATCAAATTTGTAATGCGGTTGATAGACCTTTATGGACCCTACTTATTCTTCAAGTCAATGTAAGTAAAATCCTTTTTCTAGATATTTTAAAATAAGAAATCATCTTGTCAATTTTTAATTTATGGATTATATTAATCAACTAATTTTAATATAATTAATTTATTATCTGACGGAGAGAATTTTGTACAGATTCGACGATTTAAATACAGAAAAATTACGTATAGCAGCAAGGGATAGTGGAGTTGATGCCGACGTTTTCTACTTTGACCCCAAGACTATCAACTGGGAAGATTATTTCATGAAAATTCATCTTCCTGGAGTTGTAAGATACGTGTTTAAGTAATTAATTAGTTAATGCTGAAATTTGATCAGTAATACAAAATTAAGATGATTTATACTGCTAGGGAGATTTAAAGTTATACCATTTTAAATTGTATCAAATTTTACTTTGTTGTTACGAATTTCATTCAGTGCACTATCCATTTCAATTTGTTGTATCATTATCCCTATTTGTTCTAAAAGAAGATGTTATAGCAAACTGAAGAAAGCATTTATCTATAAAATAATTGCGTTTCTTCTTACTTTTATTTTTTACTATTTGTTTCTTTTTTCTATTTTGCCACTGGAATATGTGGAAATAGTTATTTTTTTGTTGACTCAAATAGATAGGAAAAAAGGTTCAGAAACCACACATAACACTGTTATTCAACTTCATTGTCACGTTCATATTTATCCAATGATGAATCATTTTGAGGGCTAAATTCGGTAAAGTTCAAGGCCAACTTTGTATTTCTTTTTCACGTGGTAATTAAAATTATAGGTCAACATATATAAAATATGTCAACTTGAACTTCGTTAGAAATGGAGGACAAATATAATACGTTTAATGACAGAGGATCACTGAAATTTTTAACAGTGTATATAGACAAACTAATTTCACAAAGTTTCAGAAGCAAATTTGAACCTTTTTTAATTTCAAGAAGGTGACATTCCTTCATTCGAGGAAGAGAGAGAAAATTAACCGGTTTAGTCAATTTTTTGGTAGCCACCTTTAGTAAAGTAACTAAATTAACGTTTTCCCCCAACTGAAATACAAAATACAACTCCAACGAACGATCGTTTGAAGCTTTGGCAAGTAAATTATTCTGCTTGAATACTTGCTTGCTTGCTTGAATTTTTAAACCCATGAACAATTCCTGGTTTTTGCATCTTTACTAATGCGAATGATTCTTAATTTCTGATATTTTACTATAGTACAAATCCTAGTTTTTGAATCTTTACTAGTACAAACTTCACCAACTATTCTTGATTTTTTAACTTACATTGTACTTCAACAATTGAGAGCTCTTGCTTTTAAGTTAGTGCTTCTATCAGCGTTCTTTACCAGAAAAATTAGGTTGAGTGTATGCATTTCACACTGTCAGAGATTACTATAGGGACTTTAAGATTGTGCTCTCCCATAAATTGTCTTTAGAAATCAAAACATGAGAATGCTGGACTGTAACTTCTCGATGGAATAAGTATGTGAAACTTCTTTAACGAAGAAATAATAAAGAGAAAGATGACGAACAGTCGATTTCTTTAACGGAGCTGCGACGCCGGTGAATTGCTAGACCTATACAGTAAAATGCATTAACAAAGAAAATTTTAGACACAAAGTTATTAACTTCAGCACCATATACTGGAACAATTCTTAGATTTTGAACTTTAGTCATTCCAAGAATTTTTTTGTGTTTTAATTGGGAGTACTTTTATTCAAAAAAAAAAAAAAATCGTATCAAAAGAGTGGCTAAATGCTACTCCCTTTGTTTCAAAAAACTTGAAAGTATTTCCTTTTTAGTCCGTTTCAGAAAGAATAATCTCTTTCTAAATTTGAAAAAAAAAACATATAACTTTAAACTTTTTAGTTTACCCTTACTGAGATGATTTATAGCCGCACAAATATCTAAAACATTGATTTACGAGACAAGCGGTGAAGTTAACGATATACTAGAGGTCTGAAGATAGACCTCCAAAGGTTTCAGGCTGAACATGACTAAAATAGAGTACATGACGTGCAAATTCAGTAATGCATCATATGAGGCGGATGTAAAAGTGAGGATAGGAAGCTTCAACTATCTCGGGTCAACAATTCAAGGAAATGGGGAGATTGATGATGATATCATACATCGTATTGGTGCGGGTTGGATGAACTGGGAGCTCGCATCCGATGTCCTATGTGATAAGAATGTTACAGCAAGACTTAAAGGTAAGTTCTATAGAGTGATTATTAGACCAACTATATTGTATGAGGCAGAGTATTGGTAAGTCAAGAACCTACACGTTCAGAAGATAAAAGTCACGAAAATAAGGATGTTTTAGATGAATATGTGGGCATACTAGGAGAGACTAGATTAGGAACAAAGATATACGAGTAAAATAGGAGTGATCTCTATGGTGGACAAGATACCGAAAGAGAGGCTGAAATGGTTCGGACATGTGAAAAAAGGAGCACAGATGCCCAGTGAGGAGGTACAAGAGGTTAGCAGTGATAAGACTAAGGACATGTAGAGGTAGAAGAAGAGGAATTGGGAGAGGTAATTAGACACACATCTTCAGCTTATCGGGTACATTGACCCTAGATAGAAGAACATTGAGGTCGAGAATTAGGGTAGAAGTTAGTAGGTAGTCGAGTTATTTTAATAGCTGCTTCCTCTTCTCCTTATTATTATTATTATTATTATTATTATTATTATTATTATTATTATTATTATTATTATTATTATTATTATTATTATTATTATTATTATTATTATCTTATTCTTAAATTTTAGTACTACTGCTGATTATTTTACTTTGGTTATCTTTATTATTTTTGCTATCAATACTTTTCTTTTCTTCAGTGTTTTATCTTAGCTTTTTTACTCTTGTATTTTTTTAAATCTATTTTTAGAATACTTTTCTTAAGCTGATAATCTATGGGAAATAACTTCTCTGCCTTACACATTATAGAGGTGAGGTCTGCGTACACCACATCCTCCCAGACCCCACTTGTGAGATTATAGTGGGTATGTTGTTGTTTTAGATCACAAGTTTGAAAAGTCTTTCTTTCTTTCTTTCTTAAACTCGATGCACATTCACATTCGTTCATTATTTTTAAAATGAAGGGAGTAATAATGTTATACATAATCAGCTAATAATAGCAAGCCATATTAGCTGTTATTATTTTTAATTGAAATCTTTACACAAATAGCCGTCCATATTTATTATTTACTTTTTCTAGTCATATACATAGTTTATACATTGATTATATATATTATACACATATAATACATAAATTATGCATATATTATACCTTCACCGGCTATTATTAGTTTAAGCGATCGGCTGGACAACTATTTGGGTTAATTCTTCTTTTTAATTTTCCCACGAACAGAGATGGTTTGATTTTGGAGCAAACTTCATTTATGGCCAGCCGCTGGAAACTAATCAAGCGCTCGCCATAAAATTGCAGTATGCATTTTATAGCCCAAAACTAATTAAAAGGCTAACCACCGACCCAACTATCACCGAAACACAATCCTTCCTTATATTTCAAACCCCATCTTTACACACTTCCGTCCTTCATCCAAAAATCGATCTTCTCCAATTCCAACTCAAGTTCCAAGATAGAAAAATAAAATTTAAGATAAGAAGCAGGAATTTGAGATCTTCAATGCTGTCGTATTTTACATACCTAAATCCAGGAGGATTTGGAGGACTAGGGTTTCTGATAGGGGAATTGAATCATTGTATTTTTCTAGGTTACTTTTTCCTCCTAGTGCTGTCAAAGCTTTTGTAATTGAAGCGACGACGAGTAAGTTTCCAATCTTTGATGCTGACGGAGACCTCGCTCCGACGACGGTGAAGTGTATCTAGTGTAGAAAATTGAGAGGTTTCTTTATGCTGTTGTGGCCATAGCAACGGTAATGGAGCTGAAGGTTTTTGATTTATTACATTTTGCGGGAGAAACAAAGATGGCAGAAACTAATGCATAGTCTAACTTTAGGTCTCAATTCTCTTTAATTTTTTATATCATGGATAGTCTTCACTATACAAAATATATATAAAATATGTGCAAATAGACTTTCATTATACAAAAAATATACTAAATAGACTGTCACTATACAAAATAGACTATCATTATACAAATATATATAAAATAGACTGTCATTGTATAATTTATATACAAAATAGACTATCACTATATAAAATATATACAAAACAGAGTGTCACTATACAATGAATATACACTAATGATACATTCGGGATACACTAAAATATAGAGAATACACTTTATATACAAACTTTATACAATGTAATAGTATATATATACAATTTTTATACATTTTGTAACAATTTATATATAATTTTTGTAATATACACTGAAAAATACAAGATACACTTATATACAATGTGTATATAAAATATTTAATACATTGTATAACTATATATATATATATATCCAACTACCCCATTAAATCCAGACCCACCATCGATACTTACTGTAAAAGTTCTTTACTCACAAAACACTATTATGACCGAAGAAGAAGAAGTAGAAGAAGCTTGACTAGAAAATCCACAACTTTTGCTGCCACTCTTGTATCATGCATCGTAATTGAGTAAATCTTTCTAAGAATTGAATTAAAATTTTTGTACTTTTTCTAGGTACTCAAACAAGTTTTTCCGGTGTGAAGTAAAAAATAAAGAGAAAAATATAGATCTGAAATGGGAGATAGAAAAGGGAAGAAAAAGAAAACCAAAGAAAGATAAAAGGAAGATGAAGAAGAAAGAGAAAGAAAGAGGTGAGAAAGAAAGAGGATAGGAATGAAAGTGGTAAAGAGAAGAAAAATATGTGCACTGGATATAATGAAACAACAACAATAACAACAACAACAACAACATCCTAGTATAATCCCACAGGTGGGGTCTGGGGAGGGTAATATGTACGCAGACCTTACCCCTACCCCGAGGGGCAGAGAGGCTGTTTCCAGGAGACCCTCGGCTCAAGAGAAAGATAATGAAAGAAATATAAAAAGGTGTGCATTGGATAGAATGAAAGAAAGATAAAAAGGCTAGGATTAAATGTTGTCTCGGAAAGACAAATGCATTGAAAATAGATAATGACTACTAGTTGCAAATAAATTGGGCCGAAAGGCTATTTTATTTAAGTGGATAAAAATATGGGCTATTAAAATTTTGAGGGGCTATAGACGATAATTTTCTCTTTGATTTTGTGGGCTGCTAGTATTTGTTTACCAATGGACCAGCACTATTGGGCTGAGGAGTTCTTGAGCTCTAAGAGAAGGGGCTTTGGGTCCAAATTCCAATAATGTTTTGAGGTGCCGAGAGGAGTTTGGATCCTTCTTTTCCTTTTTTTCTCAAAATAATAGTTGCATTATATNGTTGAACCCATTATATTTTTAAAGTTATGGGTTCATATTTACTATTTTTACAATTTTAAGGAATATTTACATACAATTTTTTACTCTGCGTCGAAAGTTATATGTGTGTGTGTATGTATGTATATATATATATACAAATTTTATATACTTTCGTTGTTGCCGAATGTAAAT